CTGGGGTCCTTCCTCTCCCCACCCCCCAATGCCTTCAGTGTCACTTGAACTTCTTTCATTTCAAAAGCCAATGCTTTTGATTATATGCTACTTTCTGAAATGGTTCTGTGTCAGTCAGTTATTTTTGGTACAATGGCTCTGTGTATTCCTTCCATCTCCTTTTGATACTTCTTGGATTATTAAAAATTTTGCCTATAGTATCTTTCATTATTGCTACTCCAGACTTGAATTTGTTTTTCAATTCCTTCAGCTTGAGAAATGCAAAGCAAGTTCTTTCTTCTCTTTTTTATTTTCTACCCAGCTCTGTGTACATTTCCTCATAATACTTTGCTTTCTCTAGCAGTCCTTTGAAATCTTCTTTTCATCGCCTTTATCTTGCTATTTATTCCCTATATTTTGGCTTTTCAAATGTTTGTATGTGTGTGTTTTTAACAGAAGAATCGATGTCTTTGAAATGTGGTGTTGAAGACAATTACTGGCTGTCCCATGGACTGGCAAAAGAACAAAAAGATATGTCTACCGTTGGAGAAAGTGCACCCAGAGTGCTCCCTGGAGGTAAAGATGACAAAGCTTCTTCTCACATACTTCGGGTATATTGTTAGGAGGAGCTATTCCTTGGAGAGGGACATCATACTTGGAAATGACAGCAAAAGCAAGGAAGACCTTCAGCCAGATGGATTGGCACAGTGACTGCTGCAATGGGCTCTAGTATGTCAAAGATGATGAGAGTTGCACAGATAGGACAAGGTTCAGATATGTTGTTTATATGGCTATGAGTCATACTTGGGTTGAAGACACCTCTCAACAACAACATGACTGATTTAGAGAGGAGAAATTATATCTTTATTTTTGAGAATGTGCAACTGCAATTTATTAATGCCTTTACTCATTAATATGTTATTGTTGTTATGTACCATTGAGTCACTTGTGACTCATAGCAACCTTATGTACAAGAGCCCTAAACCCTGCTCTATCCTGTGCCAATCTTATTGTCTCTGACATACTTACTCCCATTACCCCAGTCACTAAATCAATCCATCTCATCAAGTGTCTTCCTCTCCTGCACTGACCCTCTACCCTCTCCAAGGATTAGTCCCTCCTTATAACATGTTCAACGTAAGTCAGAAAAAGCTTCAGAATCCTTGCCTCCAAGGAGCAACTTGGTTTCATCTTCTCCAGGTTGAACCTGTTTGTTCTCCTAGCAGTCCATGGTATATTCAACACTCTCCTCTAACACCGCAGCTCAAAGGCATCAATTCTCTTTCTATCATCCCTAGTCATTGTCCAGCTCTCTGACACATAGCAAGCAATTGGGAAGACTATGCTCTGAGTCAGGTGCACCTTAGTCTAGAAATTAAATATGGAAGGATTAAAAGTAATGGAAGACATTATACTAAGTGAAATATCTCAGTCACAAAAGGACAAATACTGCATAGTGCCACTGTTGTAAAACAGGAGTGACATTGGAGTTGGGGGGAGACTGAGAAAGATGGGATAAATAATGTATACTGCATTGAAACAGATGAGAGAGAAAACTGTTTAAAAGGGATATCTGATTAGGTATTATTGTCATGACAGGAGTCCAGAAACGAAGGCTGCATGGTGGAGTGGACCTGGGGGAGTGATTATAAAACAATGAAGGAGTTTTTCATTGACTTTTCAAAGAGAAGAGTGTACTGCGGGGGGAGGGGTGAGCAGGGAGAAGGGCACAACAATGAATGAATGGAAATCCAAAGTCTCTGTAAATTTTTATGAAAATGAATAATAATTTTTTAAAAAGCATTGTGACTTACTTGGTAAAAAACAGAAATCATAGTTGTTTAATGTTACCTTATAGTTGTTAGAGGTATATCAAATATTGTTTTATATTGCTCACTACTTCAAACTACAGTCGCAATTACAGTGACATTTAGGGTGTTTAAAAATGTTATGTGCAGTCCAATTGCTTGTGACTCATAGTGAACCCGTGTACAGCTCTGAACTCTGCTCTATCTTGAACCAACCTCATTGTCTCTGACACACCTACCACTATTACCCCAGTCACTGAGTCAATCCATCTGATCGAGGGTCTTCCTCTCTTGCATTATCCCTCCAGGCTTCCACACATGATGTCTCTCTCCAAGGACTGGTCCTTCCTTGCAACATGCCCAAAGTATGTCAGATGGAGCATAAGAATCCTTGCCTCCAAGAAGCAACCTGATTTCAACCTCTCAAGTATGAACTTGTTTGTTCTTCTAGCAGTTCATGGACTATTCAATACTCTTCTCCAGCACTACAACTCAAAGGCATCGATTCTTCTTTAGTCATTGTCCAGCTTTCTGAACACCATGGCCTGAATCAGGGACACCTTAGTCTTTAGACTGACATCTTTGCTCTTCAGTATGCTGGAAAGGCCCTTGACAGCAAATTTTCCCAGTGCAATCTGTCTTTTGATTTTCTGGCTGCCGGGACCAAGAGTGTTGATTGTGGATACAAGTAAGCTGGAGCTGTTAGCAATCTCAATGTGTGTAGATATATTTATATACCTGCAACATATATATTATTATAGCACAAACATAAAAGTATTTCTGTTTTAGTGTATAATATATTTTATCTATTTCAAAATATTGCTCATGTACAGAATAATCAAGAGGTGCATAGCACAAAAAAGGGCTAAAACACTCTTTTGTGATGTTTAATATTGTACATTAATGTGATTCTGCTCCTCAAGAAAATATAACAATTCTATGTTGTAAATTCCAACCTCTGAAGCTAATGGGACAGGAAGATCTATAAAGATACGATCAACTTTACCTGATGAAAGATCAGTCTCCTCAGGGGTGTGGCTTGTATTAAATTTATGTTTGGATTCTGGCAAATTTAGGGAGCTGCTTATCTGACCCTACATCTAGCTACCTGACCAGTGGCCGCCACAGTTGAATCGGTGATCTTTAAATTTGTAAACTTTAATCTCATCATTCTCCAAAGCCAGCAATCTGCAGCCTTGCTTTAATGATAATCTTTGGATTTATCAGCCTCTGAAACCAGCAGTTTCCACAGCCAGCTGTCTGGGATCCTGCTTCCCTGTGACAGCCTTTGGACTTGTCCATCTCTGAAGCTGGTAGTCTCTCAGCCTGCAGCCTGAGGCCCTGCCTGCCTGACAGTGACATAGACTCATTAGCCTCCTCAGACCCCTCTCTCCTGAGGTTTCACTTACAGATCTGAGCCTGCCCACTTACCAGGTTCTATAAGCACATGAGCCATTTCCTTGATCTCTCTCTTTCCGCATACACACACACACACACACACACACACACACACACGTCTCCAACTAAGTTTGCAAGGTATCTTTAGAGGGATCATCCTCTCTGGTGTAAAAAAGGAAGCAAAGGTGTCTTGGCTGTAATCACAGGTTTGACAAGCACTAGATTTTTTGCTGTGGGTTATGAAGACAATATACTGTGTCTGTGTTTAGTAATTCAAGAACACTAGGAGAGAAAGAAGTAACTTCACACTCAGGAACCATAACACAGTCTTTTCAAATACCTGCAGTTTAAGTCCTTTATTACAGAAAAAGCATGTAAAATCTTTGTCAGGAAGAGTAAAAGAGTTTTAATGATCCAGTATATTTTCAGTACATTGATTTGCTAGCATGAGTCAAAAGTTGGAGAAGATAGAGAAACTCCTTATATCATCATCAGGAACTCTCAATGGCCTAGTATAAAGGGTTGCACGTTTTAATCTTACCAAACCCAAACAATGATGCCAAATTACACAGGAAGAGTTCTCATTTTGCCAGTACAGATTTCCAAAGTTTTGGAAGTTTTCCCCCAACAGCTGACTTTCGGAGTGACACAAAACAGATACTTTAAAATACATATATTGTTTGTTATGAAGTGGAAATGTCCTGCACGAACCCCAATCAAACTGGACTTCTTTCTGCCTCAGCTCTTGCACTAAAGATTGTAACTCTTCAAATGATCTGATGTCTACCTGCTAGATATAATAGCATTATGAGCCTCACAGAAGTTTTAGAGTATTGAAATTACTCAGATGGAAGCACTTTGAAAGGTTTTCAATGCTATGTAAGTATATCTACTGATGACATTCTAGAGCATAGGATTTGAGAGAGCTAAGTTTGCTAGCATAACAACAAGCATCTTATTATAGAAAAGCCAAGCTTATGATAATGTTGTGTCTGCGTTTCTCTGTGAAGTGATACATTTAGTAGAATGAGTTATATAGAGGAGAAGAAGAGTAAGAAATTAACAGAAGAAGCAGAGCTCAGGACAGCCCAAATGCTTTACTCATTTATATTCAAGGAGTATTTTGAAGGCTAAATGCTGTCTCCTAAACACCACAGGGTAGCATCTATTTGTCAAAGTGCACAGGCACTGCTGGATCACCCTCACAGGCAATGACAATCCGTCTTGTGCTGGTCATGGCCCTGTATCTGCAGTTAGGGATCCTGGAACTTCCTGTCTCCTTGCAGTCTGTGACTTTCACCACACCCTCATGGCAGTTCATCCTGCCATTCTTGCATTGGATATTGACAGTGCTACAGATACTACGAATGTTCCAGATGTTTTCATGGATGAAAGTATTGACACGCTTGCACTGGTGCGAAGTCATCTTCCGTCTTTGCATCATCAAGTTGCAGTAGCCATCGCTGCCACCTGCACCTTCAGGATCCACATGCTGCCGCAGAAATCTCTGGTACATGCGATCCTGGCCATAGGAGGGCAGCAGGAGGGCCAGCAGCAAGAGCAGAAGCAGTAAATAGATTCTCTGTAGAGTCATCTCTACCTTAGAGATACCTGGAAAGGGACAAAGTTAAACTTTACTAAAGCATTAAGGTCTTGGCAAGCAACATTGTTAAACTCCCTTACCTGTTTGTTCAGGGAATGTCTGACTGTAATGAATTTAAAGATCTTGGTTTAATGAAACCTTTTAATAGGAGTTCCCTTCCTCCCAACAGTTCTCTCTCCTTCAGTCTTTAAGATCTATAATCTGGGAACACTTATCTTTTTCTTTCCCCACTGCCCCCCCCCCCATGTCTTCAGAGAAAATCTTCTACAAAGTACGGCCCTAATTGTAACCTTTGTTAATCATTTACCCATCCTGAGCCCAGCGTTCCTTCTTCCCACTTTGTTCTTTAAAAAGCCTCACACTTTAGTTCCAGTTTAGTAAGAAACTGGACTCACCCTTCTGCCAGGTTAGGTGCTTCTTCCCTCTTCTGTCTTATTCTGTTCCCCTCTTTTATAATAATCCTTTTAATGAAGTTGGCCTTGCCTGTTTTAACATTATCTAGTAAATTTGCTTTTGTTTGACAAAAGCAAGCCAAGGACAGGAAAAAGGGAAAGTCTGTTAGAATGGGGGCAGAGGGCCTAGAAGTAGGACTAGCAGATATATTTGAACACAAAAGAGATTGTGTTGGTGGTAAGCGACCTTCTCTAGTTGCTGGATGATTTGTGCGGACACCTCTGAGCAGTGAAAAACAAGCATACATTTAAAACAAGTTACACTAAAAAATCTTCAGGGCAACACAAATAAAGCATTGTCTGTTTTAAGATATGTTTGGGGTTTGTTCTGTTCTGATGGCCTAGTAGTAAGAAGTTGGACTGCTAACCCTAATGAACATGATTTGAGTCCACCCGCTGCTCCATGAGAGAAAGGCAATCTCCTCCCATGTGATTTATGTACCAGTCAGTCCATGGTACATTCAATACTCCAGCACCACAGCTCAAGGGCATCAATTCTCCTTCTACCATCCCTAGTCATTGTACAGCTTTCTGATGCATAGCAAGTAACTGCAAAGACTATGGTCTCTTCACCAATACCATAATTTAAATGTGTTAATTCTTTGGTCTTCCTTATTCATTGTCCAGCTTTTGCATGCATACAGGACATTTTGAAAGTACCATGCCTTGGGTTAGGTGCACGTTAGTAATTTTCTGAACATTCTCTGTTTGTTGACTGACTGAAAAAAGGCGTCCAGGCCTCTCTGACTCCTGAGATTGTGCTCTTTCTACTGTGCTCTACTGTCCCCCTTGCCCCACTTCCCAAACATCCAGGATATCAAAGATGTATGTGCTCGGGGGGAGGGGAAGTGAAGGAAATGGGAAAGAGCCAACGTGGAAAACAACGTACAAGAACTTTATAAATAAACCAGTATAAAATAAAAATGAAAAAAATTATACACATGCTCAGAGTTATGTTCTTTGTGGAAAAAGAATATAAAAAAGATACTTGCCTGTGTTTTACTGACTATGCAAAGGGATCTGACTGTGTGGATTACAGCAAAGAATGAGAATTTCCGTATACTTTGCACATGTATAGAGACAGTAAATCAAATAAGACATGGGGATACTGCATAGTTTAAAATAAAGAAAATAAATAAAATCAAAGAACGAGAATTTCAGAATGCTTAATTGTGCAGATGTATGTTGTTGTTGTTATGTGCCATTGAGTCGTTTGTGACTCATAGCGACCCTATGTACAACAGCCCTAAACCCTGCTCTATCCTGCACCAACTGCACTGCCTCTGACACACCCATCCCGATTACCCCAGTCACTGAATCAATCCACCTCATAGAGGGTCTTCCCCTCCTGCGCTGTCCCTCCACCCTACCAAGCATGATGTTCCTCTCCAAGGACCTGTCTCTCCTTACAACATGTCCAAAGTATGTCAGATGAAGCCCCAGAATCCTTGCCTCCAAGGAGTAGCCTGGTTTAACCCTCTCTAGGATGAATCTGTTTGTTTTCTTGGCAGTCCATGGGGTTGCTTTCATAGTTAAAAAAGTAATTTCTAGATCCATCTTGAAGTACAATATTGTGAGTGATAGGATTATATCCATATGTTTACAAGGAAGTCCAGTGAATACCACTATCATTCAGATATATGCACCAACAACCAGAGACAAAGAAGAAGAAATAGATGATTTCTACCAACTTTTACAGTTGGAGATCGATCGAACATGCAATCAAGATGCATTGATAATAATGGGGGACTGGAATGCAAAAGTTGGGAACAGAGAAGAAGAATCAGTAGTTGGAAAACATGGGCACGTGTATAGAGGCAGTAAATTAAATAAAACATGAGGATACAGCATAGTTTAAAATAAAGAAAACCATGTTTCAGGGTTGTTGCCTTTCATCATATTTATTTCAGCTGCATGCTAAGCAAATCTGAGAAACTGGAGTATATGAAGCAGAACTCAGCGTCAGGATTAGAAAAAGACTTATTAACAAGTTGTGATATGAGAAAACGATGTGACCAAGACAAAGGTGGGTGACTTTTAGTTTGTGGCCCTCCGGCCAGTCTTTCATTTTTTTTGTTCAGACATTCCTCTAGGTCGGATAGCCCTGGTGTACAAGTTGCCATCCCGGGGTCACTTGTGGTTGCTGTGAGGCTGAACACTGCGACAAGGATGTGTCAAATGCGTTAATGGTTGGCTACCCAATGCGGACTGAGAGTGGGGTGGAGCTCCCCGATTAAATAAGTGTGGAAGGAGGAGTGGCATCCACTTCCATAATAGCTTGCCTCTGGAAACCCTCTGAACCCAGAGAGAGGATGAAAGGCACCCAAGCATCGAGGACTCTCCTTCATAGGGCCGCTATGAGTTGCCTGCGACTTGAGGGCACTTAACAACAACAAACAACAGCCCAATGAAAATAAAGAAGATTTGAAGGACTTACTGATGAAAATCAAAGACTATGTCAATGATTTAATATACAACCAACATCCATAACAGCAGCAGTCAAGAAATCAAAGGATGTGTTGCATTGGGGAACTCTGCTGTTAAGGACCTCACCAAAGTTCTAAAGAACAAGGATGTCAGTTTAAAAGATTAATGTCGGCTTGATCTAAACCATGATCTAAACCAATCTTCATTTGCTTTCTAGTCATTTGAAAGCTGTAAAAAGACTGAAGAAAAATCAATGCCTTTGAATTATGGTGTTGGCAAAGACTATTGAATAGCCCATGGGCTGCCAAAAGAAGAAACTTGTGATACGAGTCCAGAATGAAGGTAGCATAGTGGAGTGGACTTGGTGGGAGGGACTGAATAACAATGAAAGAATTTTTTTTCTTTTACTTTTCAAAGAGAAAAGCGAATTAGGGGAGGGGTGGGCAGGGAGAAAAGTGCAACAATAAATGAATGGAAATCCAAAATCTCTGTAAATATTCATTAAAATTAATAAAGTAAAACTTAAAAAAAAAAACACCAACCCAAAACAACAAAACAGAGTCGTGCCTTTGACCACTCAGCCATTCTGATAAGTAGGAAAATCTGCAGAGTGACTGATTGCAGTTTTGCTAACAAGGATGCCTACAATTCTGCAGCAACAAAGCCTTGTGTTAATGAAACTCTGAGTAAACATTAGGAGCATGTCCCTTAAAAATCGACTGGTAAATGTTTATACTGAGAGAATGCTCTTGAGGAAATGTTCATACTCTGCTGTAATCGCTATCATCTATTTTATGACATATTGTTAATCATTTGAAGATTTTGCTTAAAAGCTTTGCTTGTGTTGAATAAAGTCATTTAGTATTCTTGAAGTCTTTCATCTCTTGCTCCTCAGCTATTTTATGTCTGTCTCTTCTTAAGTCTCTCTGATTTCCCACTTTTTGTTTTGTTTTGTTTTGTTTTGGGGTTTTGGTAGGATTTTTTAAAATTCCATTCATTCATTGTTGCACTTTTCTCCCCACCCACTCACCCCCCCCCCCCCCCCCCGTTCGCTCCTCTACTTGAAAAGCAAAAGAAAAACTCCTTCATTGGTATACAATCTGCCCCCCCCCCGGCACACCCTCACCCTCATCCAAAGTATACTCCACTCTGCTTTGTTTCAACCTGTGCAGAGCTGGACTGTATAAGTAGGGAGCTCTGTTGCACAGTTCATGGTGAACTGCACTGCTAACCCTAAAATGGAGTTTCTTCAGCAAATTCTAGTCATCAGCGGTTCCATGGGAGAATATGAGCAGATATGATTTATAGACTCAGAAGGCCAATGGAGGGTTGGAATTGACTCGGCACCATTAAGTTTACAGTTGCTTTCAGTACGGATTATACTCCAACATAAAGAAAACAAAAAATCCTCATGACTGGATTAATAAGCAACAGCATGATAAAAAGAGAAAAGATTGAAGGTGACAATTATTTCATTTTACTTGGATCCCCAATCAACACCCATGGCAGCAATAACCAAGAAATCAAATGATATGTGGCACTTGGCAAATCTGCTGCTGCAAAAATGTTATTGTTGTTGTTATGTGCCATCGAGTCCCTTGCAACTCATAGCGACCCTATGTACAACAGCCCTAAACTCTGTTCTGTCCTGTGCCAATCTCATTGTCTCCGACACACTCATCCCTTTACCCCAGTCACCGAATCAATCCATCTCCTAGAGGACATTCCCCTCCTGTGCAATGTCCCAAGCACGATGTCCTTCTCCAAGGACCGGTCCCTCCTTACAACGTGACCACAGTATGTCAGACGGAGCCTCAGAATCCTTGCCTCCAAGGAGCAGCCCGGTTTAACCCTCTCCAAGATGAATCTGTTTGTTTTCCTTGCAGTCCATGGTACCCTCAATACTCTTCTCCAGCACCACAGCTCAAAGGCATCAATTGTCCTTCTATCCTCCTTGTTCATTGTCCAACTCTCTGACACATAACATGTGATTTCAAAGATCATGGCCTGTATCAGACACACTTTAGTCTCCAGAGACAAACCTTTTTAAAGGCTAAAAAGCAATAGTTTCCCCTTTAGAAGACTAAGGTGTACCTGATTCAAGTCATGATGTTTTTCAATAAACTCAAATGCATGCAAAATCTAGGCAATGAATAAGAAAATCCAAAGCAAATAAAGATCACACCATGGAAAAATCAAATAACAAATCTATCTTGATGAAGTAAACCAGAATGTTCTTTGGAAGCAAAGATGGCAAAGTTTCATCTCATTGACTTTGGACATGTTATTAGGTGGGTTTAGGCCCCCAGAAAAGGGCATAAAAGTCATAAAAATGATGTACTGACCCAGTGGCACAACAGTGGACTCAAACAAAGATGTGATGGTGAGAATGGCACAGCAGCTCAAGGCAGTGCTTCAACGCAGTGTTATAAACAGGGTCTCCATGAGTTAGAACTGAAATAATGGCATCTAACAACCTAACAAGGGAGCTCTGGTGGCCTAAAGGTAAGAAGCTGTGCTGCAATACCAAAGGTTTGTCATTCAAATCCACTATATGCTCCAGGAGAGAAGGATGGGCAATCTCCCTGTGATTTACTGCCTCCAAAAACTTGCTGGTGGAACACACAAGGACGACCTAACAATAAAGACAAATTATAATCTATGAGATCTCAGCCACTGAAATTTACAATGTGTTCCTGGAGAAAAGACAGCGGTTGTCAAGCATTTCCTTTTACTTGGATCCAGGAGCAGTAACAAAATAAAATACTGGGCAAATCAGGTGTCAAAGATCTCTTTAAAGTACTTAAGAGCAAGGATATCAGCTTAAAGGCTAAAATACACCTTTCTCAAACTATGTTATTTTCAACTGCTTCATATACATGTGAAACTTGGACAGTAAGCAACAAAGACCAAAGAAGAATTTTCATTGAACATAGCATAGAATTGCAAAGGAACAAACCTATCTTGGAAGGTGTGCAATCAGTGTACTCCTTAGAAGCAAGGATGGTGAGCTTCCATCTCATCTACTTTGGGCAGCAAAGGATAAGAAGACTCTCAGTGAGACAAACTGCCACAGTGACTGACACAATATCCTTTAGCACAGAGGAGAATGTGAGGGAGGCATAGGAACAGGCAAGGTTTTAATCTGTTGTACTTAGGGTTGTTGTGCCTTGATGTCAACTTGATAGCACTTAACAACAGAATAAAAATACCGTAGGTGTGTGACCTTCCAGAAGAGAAATTTATTTACTCACAGTTTGTTGTTAGGTGTCATCAATTTGATTACCACTCATGGTGACCTATGAACAACAGATCAACATTTCGCTCTATCTGTGTCATTCTCATAATCTTTGCAATATTCAAGCCCCCTGTTGCAGTTGCTCTATCAGTTCATCCTTTTGATGGTCTTTCCTTTGCAAGATGACATTTCACCACTCTTGCCTCCGAAGATCACCCTGGTTGTACTTTCTCCAGACAAATCTGCTTGTTCTCTTGGCAGTTCAAACTATATTTAATACTCTGTTAACATCACAATTCAAAGGCATCAATTCTTTTTTAGATCTTCTTTATTGTCCAAGTTTCACATGCATATGACACAGTTGAAAAGACAATTATTTGAGTCAGGCATACCTTTTAATCTGACATCTTTTTAGCCCTTTAAAATGGTCCTTGAGAAATTTCCTCAATGAAACATACCCTTTGATTTCTTGACTGCTACTACCATGGGCAGGGCTCTGCTTTGGTGGCATAGTGGCAAAAGGCTGCACTGCAACCCTGAAGGCATGTGGTTCAAGGCCACCAGCTGCTCTGCAGGACAAGGACAGACAATCAGTAGATGATTAACTTCCTCTGAAAACCTACCAGAGGGTAAGCCATGGGTCAGTTCTGACTCTACCATACACAACAACAATTTTTGTAGGCAAGTAGCCATCCTTGACAACTTCACACTTTTTCCAGCTGTTATAATGCTGCTTATCAGTTCCATTGTGAGGAAATTTGCTTGCTTAAGTTGAGAACGGAGCTCTGGTGGCCCAGGCCATAGACAGTTGCAGCATTAGCCCTAAGGCCACACCCCTCTGGGAGTTTAAATCCCCTAGTGGCTCCAAAGAAGGGTGACCCAACAGAATGTGGAAACTATAGAACAATATCATTGATTTCACATACAAGCAAGATTTTACTAAAGATTATCCAAACACGACTGGAACAGCACATAGCAGAGAACTGCCAGAATTCCAGGCTGGGCTTAGAAGGAGTTGTGGTACTAGGGATAGTGTAGCTGATGTTAGATGGATCTTAGCTGAAAGCAGGGAGTACTAGAGGAATGTCTATCTGTGTTTCATTGATTAT